AATACCCACTTTTCTAGGTAGTTAGTATTGGTATACATACATACATACTTATTTATTTTTTAATGCTGAACGCGAATACTTTTTGTTTTGACGATGCACGGTGGTCTAAATGCCTGTTTTTCTGGCCCACACTAATAGAGCGTGAGATATAAAGCATAAAGTTTAATAAATGTTATAAAAATATTAAATAGATCGCGCTTAAAAAAAAAATATTATGAAGACCAAAGTTACGAGTAATTAGATATTAATGTGCGTTAACAAAGTACTGCGATTTTGTGCTAGTGATAAAATCTTTTTTACCGATTAAATTATTAGAATTTTTCTTAAATCTTAAATTTACATTAATGTATAAAATTATGGCTAGGTTTGCGAAGATACAGTTAGCCAAGAATAAAATTCTTACAGGGCAATTCTGGCTAAAATAGTAAAAAGTCTTTCATAAGACAAATGAAAGAAATGTGGCAAGACTTTTGTTATTCTGGCACAAAAGTCATAGAAGAAACCTCTCTCATTCACCACTCGTACTGAAGAGTTATTCTGAGAGAAAATATTTGCATATCATTTAGCTCGCGCTGCTCCAACAGACGCAATGGCCGAGTGAGCAAAGCACAGGCGTGCCATTCGAGAGATCCGCGTTCGAGTTCTCGGGCAGCGGACTTCTTTTACATTACTTTTTTAATTTAATTTTCTTTTAATTTGTAGATTTTATTGTTTAAAAAATTATATATATACTTTTTTAATCCCATTTAATTTTTAGAACTTTATTTTATGTATTTTTTCGTAAAAAAAAGAAATTTTAATTAAAAAGTTTTTGTTTTAAAAAGAATATTTTTTAATTTCATTTAATTTTTAGGAACTTCCGTTTCCTAATAATTATTTTTTTATTTTTTAAATTTAACTTTCTTTAAATTTTAAGATTTTATTGTTTAAAAACAAATATATTTTTTTGAAGTTTATTTAATTTTTAGAAACTTATTTTATTTGTTTCTTTTTTGTTTTATTTGTTTTTCTTTTGTTAAATTAATTTTCTTTTGATTTTTACATTGTATTTATTGTTTTAGAAAAGAAAAATATATTTGTTTTATTTCAATCAATTTTTTTGATCTTATTTGAATTATTATTTTTTTTTTGGCTTTCGTAATTTAACTTTCTTTTAATTTTTGTTTTCGAAATAAGAATATTTTGTATTTCACAATTTTATTTCATTTTTAAGTAGGTACTACATATTTTCTTCCATTTTGATTTATATTTTTGCCTTTTCTGATTTAATTTTGATATTTTATTATTTTGAAAAGAAAAAACTATCTTTTTAATTTTAATAAATTTTTTAAAATATTTTTATTTATTTTGCTTTATTTAGAATTTAGAAGTTCGCAAATATATACAGACCCAATTACTCAATTTATGTAACCATATTTTATTGCTCTGTCGTTGCATCGTTATATTTATATCTGGTAATTCCAGAACAATTTGAAGAAAAATAAATTCATGCTCCATTCCCTAGTCTTAACATCCTCGATTAAACATTTTCAATAGACCCCAGTCAACATTTTATGAACCACAGCCCCACATTCATTCCCCAATGCTCTCACTTTACATAACGCCTATGCATTACTAGGTACATCCACCTACCTGGCAGTCGTGCAATCCCTGTACAGCACGTCAAAGTCCTTGCAGGCGAGCAGCTTACACCGATTGACGCCCGGCTGTATGGCACCCAGGCCACGCAGTATTCGCACCTGCTCCACATTGCACACCAGCGGTACAATATCGAGCCGCTTCAGCTTCGTATAGACGGTATGCAGACCGCCCACCAGGTGCTTAAGGAAGAGCTCAAAAGCTTGTGGCAGACATAGCATCGTGTCACCACTAATAATGAATGCGGCCACCTTCTGGCCACGATACTCCACCAGCTTGCATTCGTTGGCGCTGGGATCCGAGGTGGAAATGGGTGGCGGACTGTTGTAGGAGCGCGGCGGCACATGATGATGTGCAGCGGCCATCAGCTCCAGCGGCGAGGCGTGATGCATCATTTGCAGCGAGTTGAGCAAGCCGAGCGAGTGAGGCGGCAGACCGTGCGGCATGCGCGGCGGCAAGCCAGCGGGCAGTCCATTGGGCGTAGGTACACCCGTCACATGTGGTGGCGGACTTAGCTGGTGATGTTGTTGTTGCATTTGTTGCATCATCGTATGATTGAGCGATGTCACCGGACTGACGGCGCTGGGATGGCGTGTGGGTGAACTGGCTGGCGAGCAGCTGGAGCCGCGACCGGTATGCGAAAGGCGGCCGTTGGAGGGGCGATCATCACCGATGCTGCCGCTTAGCGAGCCAGCGCCACTGCCGCCGGGACCGCTGCCGCCACCGCGGCTGCCATTGCCATCACGTGCGCCATTCTGTTGTTGTTGTTGTTGGTGCTGATGTTGTTGCTGTTGTTGTTGTTGTTGTTGCTGGTGCTGCTGCTGCTGTTGCTGATGATGCATCAGCAGCGCAGTGGGATTCATGCTGTGCGCCAACAGTATGCTGTTGTTATTGTTATTGCTGTGATGATAACTGGGACTCAGTTTGTGACGTGGACTATTATTATTGTTGTTGTGGTTGTTGTTGTGGATATTAATATTATTATTGTGATTATTGTTTGTAAGATTAGTTGCCACTGAAATGGTGTTCATTGCCTTGCCGATCGAATCCGAAACTGAAACCGAAACCGGTGTTGGTGAACGTTCGCGCTTAACAGCCGCTAACACGGCGCCATGCAGCGCCAACGATGACGACGTGGAGGAGGCAACACTGTGTTCACTTGTTAACGAATGAGCATCAGTAACGGTAGAATCCATGCAATGGCCGTATGCGTTTTTTTTTTGTTTTTTTTGTTTTTTGCGAACGGTATTTTGTGTTATTTCTTTAGTTTAAATACTTTTTACTTCGCACGAGTTAACAACACTTTATGTAGTTTTTGTTTTATTTGTGTTTTTGATGATTTCGCGTTGACTTTTTCTCTACACTTTTTAATTCAATCACTTTGTATTCGCTTCGCAGATTAGTTTACAGTTTATTTTTTAGATTTGTGTAATTTTAATGTTTCGAATGATTATACATAGCGGATGCTGTAAAATAGAATTTCAATAATTTGTTCACTATTAACATAATGATATTAGACTAACAAAGTCGATGTTGAAATAAAATTCTTTTGACTGTTTTAGTGTTGGTTTGTTCCGACGAAGGGGGATTATATATTTTGTAACGTTCGGTTAACCCGGACTTTTATTTTTTTTAGTCCAGTAATAACAGTTAAACTTGGTCAACTATTTTTTCAGGCCGAATTAAAAGTCCTTTCTTAATAATAAGCAAACCGCAATAGTTTTCAAATTGAAATATTTAAATGAATAATGCCACCTATTGCAAAATATTTCAATAAAACATGTTATTTAATTACCATAGAACAAACCTTGGGTCATGTATACGAATTTCTTTTAATTATAAAAAAATATATATAAATAGGTGGTAACCTAAATTTAGGTATTTCCGTTTGAAAGCTATTTCAGTCCTCTGCATTTTGGCATCAAATTTGCTTAATTTGGATAAGCAGTTGGTTTATTTTTAGGAAAGAACTTTTTTTTCTGTTATCATTCGACTAAAAAATAAAAGTCCGAATTTTTCAATTATTATATTAGACTTTTTCCCAAAAATTTCAAAAAAATAAAAATAATTTAGTATTCTTATACAGGAGGTCGTGGGATCAAAGGAACATTGATAACTTTCTTCTACGATAATATTTTGCCCCGGACTGTTATAACATCGAAAAAAGTAACTGTTATTTTCGGTCCTTTTTGTGACCCCTAAAACAATCATGAAACAAGTTTCAAGTCAGTTCAACGATTTAAAAAACAAAATGTAGACCAATTTACACCCAATATTTAATTTTTTTATTTCTGAGTTTTTCTTCGCAATCAGCGACAACAAAAAAATCCTTACTAACAGAGTTCAAGCTAATGCGATCGATTTTAAAAATATCTTCCGCCATATTGGATCCGCCAATGCCAGATTCGTAATCAACGACCCCCAAAAACCACCGTGTGACAAGTTTCAAGTCAATCCGATAAGATTTTGAATTTTTCCCTGAATTGATCGTTTCCTGGCCCACAGTGCATTGGTATGAAAAAACTTATTGTTCTTATTGTATAAAAATGGTGAACTCAAAATAATTAAAACTTACTTAAAATAATATTACTGTGCAGCAGCCATAAAAATAAACAAATGGGGCATGGTAATTACGAAGGAGGCAGAGCTCTAGAATACGGGACCATCTGTTTTTTGTCCCTAAACGTCACAATTTTTTTTTTACAAGGTTTACTCAAGTTCTCCTAGCTTCATCTCAAGTTCATCTAGATTATTTGAAAAATCTCGTTTAAAATTTAATTTACCAAAATCTTGTCTTAAAGGGTATATACATACATATGAGGGATTCACAACGGTGTCGTAAATGTCGTATTGTTGTATGTCGTAAACTTTGAAAGCTTAAATCAATGTTTAGAGAATTTAAAACCACAGCCAACTATTTTTTAAGACTGCGAAAATTCATAATATGGCTTTGATGGTACTTTGCGAACCCCCTTAACATATTTTTTAGGCGTTTAAAGTGTACGAAATACAACAATACGACAGTTACGACACCGTTGTGAATACCCCAATAGTAATATTTACTGGCACACATTTTTGGGGGCTAAGGTTCAAATGTTCAACAAAAACATTCCCCGGCAGGGCGCCTTTTTGGACGAAAATAGTCTGCAATTGCGAACAGAAGTACAACATTAATTTCTTTATTATACTTTCAAACAGGGTTGCCATAATTTATACATAAAATAAATTTTTCAAACTTTAACCTTTTGACGCACAGTGTTATTTATGGTGACTATACAAAATGAAAGCTGTCCTGATTTGTAACCGCCTCCGAAATGCTCAACCAATGCTTACTTTGGAACCCAACTGATTGTCTATTTAATTCATTATGGCATTTTTACACAGATTTCCTCAAATACAGACTTGGCACAAATATAAACTGTACCTCAAAACCTCATAAATTGGAAATCTACAGTAGATATGTGCACTCAAAAAAAAACAAAAACAAATACAATTGTACACTTAAATGAAACCGAAATCAAGAATTTATGTCACAGAAGTGCGGTAACTGCGAAACTTTTTATAAGGAGTCAAGAAAAAAGATTTGTTTTGAGAATTTTTTGGGAGACCGTTAACATAAACTTTCATGATTATTGACATTTTTAGAACGTTTCAGAATGAAAAGATTTAAAAATTTTAAGAACGAAAAATTAAAAATGTGTTCTCAGCCGGACTTGTTTTTAGAGCACAATTTTTCTCGGAGAGTATATAGATATCAGGGACGTGACTTGGATTAAAAACTTTGTAGGTTCGGTTCAACGTTTTGAACCGGTTTCACACCTTTGGATTGGTTCGTCAAAACGTTTTTTTTTTCGTTTTTTGTTTGGACCGGAGTTTCGGTTCGGGTCAACGGTGCGGGAATTTAAAAGCACGATGTAAATTTGTCTTGGTTTTATTCAGAACAATCCAAAAACTACGAATAAAATATATAATTTACATACGCAGTAAAAAAATCATATTTGATAAAAAATTTAATTTACAATAATTAGTTGAGATTGATGAGAAGGAAGTCTTCTAGCAAGTAAACAAACATGGCATTACCATATTTATCAAAAGAAAAAAGTGCCCAAAATTTTAAAGATTAAAAATTGATCGAAGCGAACATTAAACTTTTATAGAAAAGTGGTTTAGCCGAACCGTAAGTTCGAATGAAACATTTGTGGCAAATTTCGTTGTTCTGCATATTTTTAACACAGATTAACTCTGGCACTTTTATACAACAAAAAAAAAACATTTAATTTATCAGGTGTTTTAGCTTTCGAGCCTAGGACATATAAATATTATAGTTGTATATGTATAGTGCTGGAAACCTGAAAAGTGCCGAACGCTTGAAAAGCATAGATTCTTTGCAAAGAAATAAAAGAAGATTTAAGTCAAATCAAGACAAAATGCTACAGCACTTTCCGTGTTAAATTAAAGTATGTATATATTTTTTAAATTTGTATTTAACTAAAGAAATAGGCAATTTTTATTGCATTCCAACTTGAAAACGTTGTCCTTTGTAAACTATTGCTTTAGTTTCCACTTTTTTATTAACCGACTTCCAAAACAGGAGGAGGTTATCAGATCGTCGGAATATTTTATATTTATTTTTTTTTTATGTATGTTACCGCATAACTTTGGACCACCAGAATGGTAGTGTCTCAGAGGTGGTTCCATACTAATCTGGTTTCGATCCGATCATTGTATCATGAAAAAATTAACGGTACTCCTAAACTTTTATATGAGAATTGAAATCGGTTTTGCTTTTGCTTAAAAATTACTTGGTTTTTATTTTTATTTTTTTTTTTCGATGTAGAAATGCATATATATGCTCTAGAAACATTTCTGCATCAAAAATAAAATTTAGAGAAAAAAATCCCGTACGTCCTTTCAGCCGTTAAGGTTAAGGTTCGATTTAATTCTGTTTATTATGTACGACTCCTATTTACTTTCATAAATTTTAGTTTTGAATTTTTTTTTTAATAAAATTTTTTTAACAGATTTCATATTCATGTAATCTACCTATTAATTCAATTTAAATATTTCTGAAATCAGCTATCAACTACATAATTATTGAAATTAAAACAGCAAAATATTTAAATATTTAGTTATTGTAGGTGTACATTTTCAAATTTTAATTTTTGATTTTATGCTCAAAAATCAAATATGTATCTACATATTTAATAGAAATTAGCAATAAAATGCTTTTTGTAGGTAATTGCTTATTTAGTACCTTTAAGTTATGTTTTTTGTTTTACTATAATAACTGAGGTACTTCTTAAAGAGCAAAACACCAGTTTTAATTCTTTAAATTAACTTTGTTTCAAACCGACTTTGTTACACTTCATGCGGACACAAAAATGTCTCACCACACACACACAAAAAGGTTTAAAAATTCACAAACAGTTCTAAACCGATTAACCACTCCAATTTGATTAGCCAATAAATGTAAACTATGCATTAGTTATAATTTCCAAAAAGAAACCAAACTCCTCCACACAAAACGAACATCCGCGTATATAAAGTCAGTGCAAAACAATTTAACCAACTACCGCATTTAACTACCGTACCGACGGCGTGTCACTGCGCGTATGAGAGGACAAATGATTGCAGACAGTCACAGAAACACACGGCGAATACGACGAATACGATTGCCATTCCGAATACGAATGCAAAACTCACATAGTAAATAGACGCACGGCGCGCCGCCCAAATACACAATCAGCAAGCAGAAGCAGTCACAGTCACATCTCGGGCACAGTGGTGCACAGCAACAACACCAACAAGAGTAATGGAATGGCATTGCGGAGGAAATGCGCGAATATGCCCACACACACACACACACACACGTAAATACAACAAGTTTGCACATCCACACATACCTGCCTACAAACACACAGAACAGGGACAAACAACAATTACATACAATTGCAATTGCAGAAGGAACAGAAACGGAAAAAAAAGAAAGAAAATCACATACAGAGAGAAAATACGACGCCAACTGCAAACGATAGCAGCGATGCCGACCACGCAGCCGACGACGATGCTGACGCAACGTCACTGCCGACAGCAACAGCAGCAGCCACATTAACAGCGGCAAAATGACATTCAGCTCTGCTTTGTAGTTGCGTCGGAAATGAGAGAAATGTGATTGCTGCGCGACTGCCGCTGCCGCTGCCGCCGCACAACATCGATTTAATTCGTGGCGATGTGATTTTGTTGTTGGTGGATCGAAACGTATTGGCAATTGAATCGAATCGAATTGTTTGTTTGAAAAGGGGAAACAGTTGCGGTCGCAGTGGACTTTTTCTGTGTGTTTTTTTTTTTCTTATAATTTTAAGTTTTGGTGCTGGGGTTGGGGGGTTGTGAGTAATGAAAATGTTATGTTGCGATTTCGGACTGCTTTGGGGGTTGAAAATACAATTGGAAATGAAATATGTATGTATGTAGATATGTATGTAGGTGGTGCCATTTGAGAATTGTTTGTGGCGCAAGCTTTAGGGTATTTTTTGCGGAGCATTCGTTGTGTATTTAACGGCGGTGACTTTAGGGGAGCCTCAGAGAGGTAGGTAGAGGCAGACGTTTGACATTGGCTGCGAAGTTGGTATTATTGTTGTCGCTATTTGTTTTTGTTTTTCAACTTTTGTGGACTTTTATTTGTCAGTGATTGCTGTGTGAGAAAGATATATGTATGTATGTATGTATAAAGGGATTGTTTGTTGATTTTATGGAAAAATTCGAAGATTCTGGATTTTTATTTGAAAAGTACATACTTACATACATAAATATGTATGTATTATGTAAAGTTTGGAATATGTATAAGAACCTAATTGTGTTTGATATTTCAACTCAAATGTGTGTTACGGTGTAAACTCAGATATTAGAACTAGCAAAAATTTTTATATCTCTTGACTTAGTGCCGAAAAATTTCTTTTTTCTTTTGATTTTTGTTCCATACCTAGATACATATGTACATATGTACATACAGTGACTCAAACAAATGACCAAGTGTTGATTTTTTTTTTTAATATTCGTAATGTTTTTCGAGCAACATTTTTGTTTTTCTATAAAAAATACCATCTAAGCTTTAACCAAAACCATATAAATCACAGTTCCAAACTTTATACACAATTTCGGAATATTCAACAAATTTTCATCAAAAATTCAACTTTGTTTTTAGTCTGATGTGCAAGTTTCAAACGGCTAAAAAATATCTTTGATTTTTGATTTTTTTTGTTTTTTGTTGACGGATTTTTGTTCTTTTTCCATAACGTTGACATGAGTTTCTTATGAAATAAAATGCGGCAGACCGTTAGCAACAAAATCTCAAAAAATCAATTTTTGTAAATTGCACTTGTTATATAAAAAAAACGAAAAGCATGTATACATTAGGGTGGTGCAAAGTTTTCTTCAGTCAGACCCGTCCTTTTTATTTTGAAATCGATTAATATTTAACCTGTGCTGCTGAGCAGGGGGACGTTTTCTACTGATTAAGTTCAAAAATAGTTGGACCGAATTGAATAATTATCCTTTAAATACTTGGAACGTATTTTAAAGAAGAGTGTCTAGGCCAAAATTTATTAAAAAAACTTGAATTTTTATCAATACATGTTGAAAGCTGATATTTTTTTAACCAAGAAGCTATAAGTAATATTGCACTATTTGTGACAAAATTCATAAAAGTTTTTTTGAGATAGGGCGTTTTTGAATCGGCAGCTGAGATAGGTCGTTCTTCCATTCAGCAGTCGATATACAGAATTCGTTATAAAAAAACGCCTACTTCAAATGTGTTATTATTTGAAGTGGCCAGTTATTTGGGTTTGAACTATATTTCACCACTTTTCCTCTTCAACAAAAATGTCTTTTTTTCAACGGAAATGGTTATACGCGGGAACATTTCTTAACTGATTATGGCGGCATGTTGAAGTAAAGCAATATCTGCTGCCAAAAATGTGAGCGATGGCACATTTTCGATAGAAATTAACCTTTATAATTGTATTTTTCAAGATTTGGTGGCTCCCTTGAAAACACAATATATATTTTTTTTTTTAAAACCTACATACAGATGCATAAAGAAAAATCGTTCGGATAAATTCATTATATGGATTATGAAACGCATCCCCTTTCAAGTGAAGGCTGCAAAAATTGTTATGTATAAAGAAAAATTCGGTATATCGAAACTAGTTAAAAGTAGAACAAAATACAGTAAAAGCAGAACGAAGAAGCAACCGCAATAGAAAAGACGTCATTAAGCAAAAGTTCGTTAGAGAGGAGTTGGACTGTAAATAGTAGTAATATTTTATCAAAAGAACAAAACTATCGTCAAGCCTAATTTGCCCACTTATTTTAGTTGGAGAGTGATTTTTCTTTCTTTTTTGGTTGTTGGTGTTTTTTTTTCTAGGTAAAATTTTTAAGCAATGACGCTAGCTGAAAAATTCTTTTCTTATGAGACACAACTGAAAACATTTTTTTTTTGTTTACAGAATTTGATTGAATGTCACTTCCGCAAAGACGTATTTTTTATAGAATAGATGTATAGAAGTTCCTTTCCCAGGCCCTAGAAAAATTAATGGTTTTTGGTTTGTTTTTTTTTATTGATTGCCATATTTAAAGGCCATTTTACCAAATTTAAACCTTTACCCAATTTTTGACTTTTTGGATTTTGTTTTTATTATTAACCACATTACTTCATACTGCCAAACGTTTTAAGTACAGTCAAAACTCGATAATCCGAACTAATGATTGCAGAGTGGATTCAAATAGCCTAAAAAATCTAAAGAAACCACTATATTTTGTAAAAAAAAATAATCAAACATTTCATTTATGAGAGACCTACCTATAAAATTACATATTAGAGGTAACGCAAATACGTACATAAAAAAATTACTATTCATTTCTTGTGTAATCACGATCAGCACACCACATATACCGCACACCGTCGCTGAATTGCGATTCAAATTTACTGAAAACATTAGCTAAACATGCAATTCGGATTATAGAATTGCAACAAATTGAGATTGCTGTGTGAGCAGCCGTTCGGTTTGCTGAATATTTAGATTATCAAGTGGTCGGACCATCGAGTCTCCACTGTATGTCCATTATTAACTTTGGGGCTTAGATGGATTGCTACCTGTGCCGTGAATCGCGGTATACATACTCTCTTAAAAACTGAAGAGAAACCTGCATTCACTTGGCTGATGAAGATGAACGCTTCACAGGAGCGTTCAAATACAGGTGATAGATAATAAATGACATACATAGAACGTTTTGCAGTTTCGCCGATGATATTATAATTTTTTTTCAAGTTTTTTTTTATGTTCGTTTTAATACTTTTGCTTAACTCACAATTTTTCGTATGGGTTTGAAAATAAATACTTCTTAGGCGAAAACTTGACTAAACGCGGACAGATGATTTTTGTTAAATTGAAACAATACGAAAAATATATTTCAGTTTTTAGCGAAAATATGTACTCTCTTAAGCGGACGTCGAGATCAAAAAGAAAAAAAAAACATGGCTTTATTTAAATTTTTTTCGCGATTTTTTTTTAAGGCATTCACAATATAATACAGCATAAATATGTACGTCTGGAATATTCTTCCAAAATTTTAAGTCAGTTGGAAAGAAAGCATTGGATAGCTGCACTCATTAGGTCAGGCCTCCCGTGATACGGCAAAAAGAAGTACATAACTAATTTTTTTTTGTAAAATGGAGAAAATTAAGGTTTGGTCCAACTAATTTAAGTTTTTTAATATCACCGGAGAAGTGTGCTGGACGCATTGCAGGTGAATTATCTTTTTCTCAAAACTGAGGTCGGTTGACATAATATTTCGAGAAGTTCGCGTTGAATAGTGTTTAAATGAAGATTTTCTTTCTTTCAGAACTCGTTTTACAAGTTAATACGTAGTGGAATACCAGAAAGGGTGCCTTTTTGTACTCAAATTTAGAATTTTTTATAAGACCTGTCTGTAGCTCTCAAGGGAAACTAAAAATTGCTACTAAATTATGCACCAGAAATGGGAAAAAAAATTTTCCCCTATCAAAATTTCTTAAATCAGTGAGCAGCTCTTAAGAGAAAAAAATGCTTATATATTTAATGCTTCTAGAAAATTTACAGCATCCGCCACACTCCTTTCCTAGCAACAGAAATAATGAAAAATATTTATTGTGATTTTTCTTGATACTAGCAGTAATAGTTTAATGTTTTGTTGTCAGAAGAACTTCATGCAAGGGAAGATCCGAATATAATGTCCAATTGCTTAAATTTTCGAAATTTTGAAATGAAGATTTAATAAAAAATTTGTCAAATGCTTATATTTGGAAAACCGGTTTGTCTACAAACAACAATTGACAAGCGATGAACGAAATTTTTTCCAAAATATGCATACAATTGTGTCCCTTTGAAGAAAATTACCAAAGAAAATAAGGCAATCGTTCTTCCATAAACGGGTTTATTTAAGCTGCTGCAGTTTTTGTATTTTGCGCCTTTTAAATCAATACCTACTACGAATCTTTTTTTAAGCTTTCAATTGTAAACTATCTGGCCAAATGCCTGCATAATTACGGCAACTACTTTTTACAATTAATGTTCATTGTTTTTTTTTATGATGTTTGAATGCATAAATTTATTTTTTAAAATTCCACCTAGTTTTCATAAATTTTGACGTAAAATTATTTTAATCACAAAACAATTTTAAACACTGCTACTTAGTTTCAATGACACACACGTGCTCACCAAAAAAAAACTTTGTTTTTTCACCTTCACTTGTAAGTTCACAAAATACGCATTCCAAATTTTCTTAATTAGTTTTACGCCAATCGAATTATTTGTTTATAAAAAAAAAAAACAATCCGCACTAATACCAACCGATTAGTATTTGTCAGTTGCTGTTGCTGACACCGCTCACTTGACGAATGTCGCCAATTGGCGACGGCAAATGCAAAACAACACTCTGTACATTTGCCATGCACAGACACACACGCACACACATAAACGCGCGCTCATCGAAATTAAACCGTCAAACCGTCCCCACCAGTGATTACTCTACACCTGAACCGAATAACCAAATGGCTTGCGCAGCCTACGAATAAACACCGAACGCGAATGAGCCACAATGGCAATGTCAACGGCAAAACAACACTGCCCCAACACGGCAATGCGGCAACGCAACGCAACGCGACGCGACGACGAACAGAACGAGTTGTAGAGTTTTAGCGCGCACAGCAGAAATTTTTATTGTATTACCTTCGCTTACGAATGACAAATTCGTAATGAAACCGATTTGAAATGTGTGCTGGCTGCCGTTGCGCGAGCATGAAACCAGAACAATAACTACAACAGCAACAGCAACAACAAAAGCAAAAGCAATACAACACACATTTCCCCAATTGTATCTGCAACTGTATATTTTCTGTTATGGTTGGAGTGTGTGGCTGTAGCTGTAATTGTGTGTTTGCTTTGCTTTGAGAAATGTATTTGTATTTGTATTGTATTTGTAGTTGTAGTTGTACTCCACAGTGGCACAACAGCAACGCGCGCTGCATTAAAAATGTTAGAGGGGATTGAAATGGGATAAACGAAATTGAAAAAAAAAAAAAATGCAAATCTAAGTCGACGAGGAGGAGTAAAGTGTCGATGAGTGAGTAGCGGAGGCAAAAGAGTGGCGCTACGTTCCTGCAAGTGCGGGTGGTGTGGTGATTTTGCGCTGTGGCTCAGTGTGGGGCTAGCGGCGCAGACAGGTAAATAAAAAAAAAAAAAAGTTCAACTGCTGCTGCTGTCGCCACTGTCTGTTGTTTATTTGCTGTGTTTGCTTTGCATATTGCGTTCATGTTGTTGTTGTGACACAACGATCGCTGTTGCGTTCGATTCGTATCGCTGCTGCTGCTGCTCTATTTATCCTCGTTACGATTGTGAATGAGTGCAATACGAATGTGTGAATTACGAATACGAATGCGATTGCGAGTGTACGAATGGCAGTGCGAGACTCTGCCTTGAGAATGGGAATGGAAATGGAAATGGAAAATGGCATGGCAGATGGGCGTATGCGTTTGAGTTGATTGCGGAGAACGCGCCAGTGTATGGGTGTGTGTGTGTGGAAATGGTGACAAAACATGGACGTATTGAGTGCGGGTAAGCGAGATAGCAAATGAAACAACAAATAAACAGTTGCAGAGCAATTGAAATGGAAACGGAACGACAACAAAAATACCACAAACAACGAATTGTATTTATACAAATACAACAATACAATTGTAATGACAATACTTCCGGCGAAATTGGTCTGGTTGTGTATTTGTGCGCAATTGCAACCCCAAAATCTGCTTGGAGGCATCCAAATGTATGCATGCATGAACTTGTACATACATATGTGGGGACTGGTAAAGTGAGCAAATGTGTGCATTGAAAAATGAGACAGCAACTAAAGGAAATTCATTTCTGTGAAAGCAGATTACCTATAAAGATGTTCGCAATTATGCATGTGTGAGTGTTTGAATGTGCAAGTGTTGGTATGTATGACTGTACATATAAATATCTGTTTGTATTAAAAAATTAAGTACCAATAACGTTGCGAAGAGCAGTTGAAGAATACATTTTATTTTAGTGCCAATAACGTTGCTATGAGTAGGTATATGTACCGAGTTCTTAACAGTCTGTTACAAAATATAAGAATCATCTTACGAAACATTCAGTCAATAAAATTGTGTAGGTATCTATCTATGATTAGATCCTTTCTTTCTATCATGTTCTTTAAATGGCAAGCGAAAAGCATTAACAACCGGTTTCACCAGCAATTTAAATGGAAAATGATTTTTTAGTTTCTGTTTATTTTCATATAAAATTAAAAAAAAATTGAAGTAATTTTTCTCCTAAAATGTTTACGTAAAATTGGCTGTAAAACTAAAAAAAAAAAATAGCAGATAACATTATCAACTCACTCAGGGGGTCAAATGTGATAATGTCATTTGAAGTTTTGAAATAACATGGATTCGATAACAGCGAGAAAATCTGGAACTTGGGTTCCCCAATAGTTGATTCAACTGTTCCATGATGGGTGTTTTAGTCCGACATTACTTTTACTGAGATGTTAAAAAACGGAACCTACTTATACAAGTTTTCAATTATAGATATTTTTTATGTCTTCTTGAAAAAGACTGAAGGTTAGGTAAAATTAGTTTAGCTTAGCTTGGGTTGTTGTTCCCAAACAGCTATGGATGTAAACGATCGAAGCGTAGATGGAGGGGTATTCACAGGGCTGGCACAGGAAAAGCCGGGCCCTGTACTAAGTATGTGACGGCCCCCTATCCAAAAAAAAAAACATCCATCCATTCCATCTTCATTTTCTCCGACCCCTTAACTCTACGGGTCTGAGAAGAAATAAGCCCGATCTCCCCTCGTCTTTTGGGGCCTGAGGATTGACCCCCGATTTGACGTTTAGCCAGCTGAGGAAGTTCATTTAATCGCCTTCGATCGGCTACCGGTCAGAAGGACTAAGCAACTTTGCATTTAGCGGGTTTCGTTCAGCTCTCGCGTAGCCGACGAAGAGTCGTATCTGTCCAGGAGCAATCCAAAGATTTCCACAGGAACTCACATGCCTTGCCTCACAATAGACATGATCTCCAAGGCGCAATTCCTTACCTTTTATGTGCCATGCAATTTCCTAGGATGTTTCTGCAACCCAAAACCGCCTTATTTAGAATTAATCCTAGGTGACCGACAGAGAGGTCAATCATTCCTTGAACAGTTTTGATCGCACCATAAGCGACCCAAGTGCCTCGCTGAATGGCCGTTAAGCTGTCAGAATAGATGCTTAGAGCTAGGTTAGACTGCTATTTCTGTAAAAGGAGTTCGCTCAAAAGTCGCGCAAAGGTAAATGGTGATGCCTAAGACAGAATTTTCCCAGGCCTGTCCCTAAATGTCTTTAAACCATCTTAAATTTCTGTCGAATCCTTCTAGACCTTAGAGCTTTTTGCAAGCTGTATAAGACCTCGAAAAAGTAGGAGGCGCTTTTTCCAGACTGTTGGGCATTTGCACAGGAAATGCTAAATGAATATGCCGCACATTTGGGACCAAATAAAGATTGACTTTGTGCTGTTGAAGAAATCGTAGTGATCTTCGGCATGTTTTAAGTTGAATTCCACCAGGGGATGGCCCGCACAATAAGATTGATTATAGTAGCATACGTCCAGGAGAGGATCCACCTCATCTACCGGCTATGGAAGCTGCGTTTCGCCTTACCGTGGTTATTACCACGTTCCCTTATATTGGATGAATTGCAAGTCCGCAGCTAGACTAATTTCAGACTAAGTGGCCTGCCATCTGCATAAAGGAAACCCCGAAAGCCCGCCGTGCAGCTCTTCCAGTATGAGGATCCCGAGCAAGAGTGAGATTTGTGATAGATCTACCGTTCACCCAATTCAGTTTTCTTTTTTCCCGAGGGCTACCCAATACATACCCATTTGAACTAACCCACCAGATTAGTAATCGTAGTGTAGGTAAGGGCTTACAATACTTCAGTTTAACAGCTACATATTTCGTCGGATTCTTGGATTGTGTCCAAATTCTAGCTGTTTCACCAGATAGCTAATAAAAAAATTGCGATCAGTTCATTTCAGTTGATTCCAGATCTACTACCGGAGGACCTTAGTGCACCTGATTCCAGAGTAAGTCACCGAGTCCCACAGTTTCCAGTATATAATGACGAGATACATAGGTAGATATGTATATACATACATACATATGTACAGAACCTACGTACCTATCACATAAACCTGCAAATATTCAAAAAAAAAGTAATCAGCAAATAAAAATCGACTGTTAAAATAAATACATAACGAATCAACGAATGAAACAACAAATCATTGAACAGAAATGATATCTGCAGATGCCAAAAGAAAGCAGCGCAGCCTTTCATGCATACATACATACATATATTTCAGCAGAAGCACAGACAGCGGCAGCAGCAGCGGCAACGGCAGTTATAGCAGCAGTTATAAAAACAAGTAGCACTCGCAGCAATGCTGGCAGAGCCAGTGACAGCGGCTGATGCCCTCTGCCGCCATCCATTCGTATTCGCCTTACAAACTAATGGATTTCCACACATCACACACAAATCTTGGCTTTCTCAGCCCACAGTCGTCGCAAGCCAACGTGTGGAAGAAAGACAAAAAATGCGTCAAACACTCAAATGTGTCGAACATCTTCGAATGGGCCACAAACCGAAAACAAAGTGGAATAAATAAATAAACGAAATCGGCAAAAGAAAGAAATAAAATAAACGCAAATCGCCTGCAGCTGAAATTGAAGTGAAAATAAAGCCCGAATAATAATAAAACGAAGATGAATATGAAACGAAATGAATATGAAACATATGCGGATAATATGCGCAAATGGCTGGGTATTTAAATAAAAGTGGTACTGTGCACTAGTACATACACACACACACAGACACACACACTCACACACACTCACTTTAACTATTTACTATTTGTTCCCCAATTTGCCGTTTCGAATGCGATTGTTATTTGTTTTATTTGTTTTATTTTTTTTCTCAGCTGCTCTTACTCTTCCTATTGGTTTGTATTTATTTTGCTTTGGTGTTTTTTTTTTGCTGAATTCATTTCGCATATCATTTCGTTTCCACAGCTCACAGACACACTCGTTCGTTGTAGTTGCACTGTGTGTGCGGCCGACTGCTGGCATCACATTCGCACCTGGCTCCATTTCGGCTAGCGGTTGTGCGCTCTCACTCACACTCATCGCTTGTGCACGCCACGACATGTACAGCTGCCAGCATTCATTGTGCACTCTCTCTCTCTCTCTTAATACTCAGTTGCTGCAATGCCTTGCGGTGTTTGGTTTTTTTTGTACGGCAGCAGCGAGCAGGTGGGCTGCACCAATAAACATGCGCTTTTATTTACTTCTCTGCTTTACGAATGTTTCTGCGAATTCATATTATTTTTTTACTTTTATTTTTGCTGTGTTTTTTGCTTTTGTTTTAGCTGTGCGCAGTAGGGGCACGGCAAGCACACATTCACACCATTTGCAGGTTGGAATGACATTTGTGTGTGGATGTTTGCTGAATTGCTTTTATTCGTTGATAGATATTAATTTTAAGCTGTTGAATGGTGGATTTCAAGGAGATGAGTAATTGTTAGTATTCAAATTTGCAGAATTAAAAAGAACAGTTTTATGTGATAAAAATTGGTATCAAATTTATTTTCAAACAACAAGCACTAATTAGGTATGCTGTTGAGACAAACATATCTATGTTTATT